GTGAGAGACTGCAGCGAGCTGAAGCAGCTATAGAAGCATATGTAGACAGCGAAGCAAAGGGGCTGTTCCAGCAGCAGATGCAGCAGCAGATTTTGCTGCTGCTGCAGCCATTCGTCTCTGGCACTGCAGCAGCAGCAGCAGCAGCAGCAGCAGCAGNCAGCAGCAGCAGCAGCAGCAGCAGAAGGAGAAGGCAAGAGAGGACGCAGCAAGGATGTAGGAACCCCAGAGCAGCAGCTAGAAACTGCTGCTGCTGCTGCGCTGCAGCAGCTTAACACTTTGCTGCTGCAGTGCGTCCCCTCAGCTCACGTACGAGAGCGGTGGGGCTGCAGGGAGCTGCAGCAGCTGCTGCAGCAGCAGCTGCTGCTGCATGCAAGAGGCCTGCGTGTGCATAGAAGCGAGCAGCAGCAGCAAGCGGAGACGCTGCTGCGTGTGGTGCAGCATCAGCAGGGTTTACTGCAGCAGCTGCAGCAGCAGCTGCAGCAGGAGCAGCAGCCACGCCCCTTCTCTATGGGTGCAGCATATAGAGTACCGGATACAAACCTACAAATAGCAGCAGCAGCAAGACAAGGAAGGCTGCAGCTAAACGTTGCATGCGTTCCTGATGATTCTGCTGCTGCTGCTGCTGGTGTGCTGGGGCAGCAAGGGTTTGTTAGGGGGATAGAAGGCCTAGGCAACCTAGGCATCAGCTGCAGCTTCTCTATATAATTATACTCTTCTTACTATTTCTACTCTTTTTTCTTTCCTTGCTGCTGCTGCTCCTGCTGCTCCTGCTGCTGCTGCTGCTGCTGCTGTTAGTGCGGGTGTTCGAGGCGCTGCTTTTTGTGCGCGTAGCACTGCTGCTGCTGCTGATGCTGCTGCTGCTACTGCTGCTGTTGCTGCTGCGTGGTGTGGGGGCCGGGGGGGTTACTGCTAGCAGCCAGCAGCTGCAGCAAACCAAAAAACAGCAGCAGCACGTGTTTGTTTTAGTTTCACTTTAGCTGTTGTTAGGGTATTCAAGCCCTCAGCCCCAAATGCATGCAGCAGAGAGAAGGGGGAGAAACCTAGCTATCAACCTAAACCCTAAACCCTAAACCCTAAACCCTAGCTGGTAACGCTAAGCCCTAGATATGTTAAACCCTAAACCCTAGCTCTGAACACTAAACCCTAGCTAGCTCTTAGGCGCTAAACCCTCGTTATAAACTACCACTAAACGCTAATGTGCTGTGTGGAGCTGTGTACAGCTGCTGCTTAAACAGATATAGGGTTCTTTCTAGGGTTTAGGGTTTAGGGTTTAGGGTTTAGGGTTTCGGCTGGTGAGTACGAAAGACGTTCTTTGTAAACCCCCCAGGGAATAAAGTAATTATATTTCTGCATAATATAATAAATAATTATTAATAATTATTTAAAAGTAAATAATAAAAAAGAATATAATTAAATTATAAATAATTAAACCATAAATACAATACCGCATACTCGTGCAAGGCGACGACGAGCCCTTGGGTGTTCTTCGTATTAACGCTATGCATAACTGACTAAAATAAATTAAAATATAATTTATTTATTTATTTAAATGCAAAGAATTTCACTCCTAAAACTAAAACTCGATAAAGAGAGCTTATTTGTATGAACTGCTCTGTACGCCGCTGCTGCCGACTACGTGCAAGTAGGGGGTCTATTGAGTGTAAATTGTAGCTCTTTGTGGCTATTAAGAGATATAAATTAAGTTTTAAACACAAAATAAAACAAAAAAAAATCATGAAACACTAAAACTTTTTCGTATTTGGGGTGTATGTGCAGCGCAAGTTGAATGGACCGTTCAAGGCAGCAGCGGGCGTGCAGCCGCAGAGCGGGGGCGTGCTCTGGCGGTGCTGGGGGGTGTTTAGGAGTAAACTTTACTGAAAAAAGTAAAAAGAATAAAAATAAATAGAAAATATTATATTTTAAGCGGCGAAAATACATAAAGAAGGAGCTGCATGTCAGTTAGACAGCAGCGGTCCGCGTGGACGATGGATGCTACGAGTGCGCATTCAATACCGATGATGAGCGTGTATATAGAGGTTTCTGTTTGTTTTTCGTTCATAAAAAACAATTCAATAAAAAGAAAACAAAATTTAACTTTTATTAAACCCAAGATCTTCTCCTGAAGTTGTCGCTTTCCGTGCTTTCTTCTTTGCTTTCTTCTCAAGAAACCGGAAACCGGCGGCTGCGGGCGCTCCACCTCCTCTGCATCCCGGGGTAAGTTTTGCACGAATTTATGAATAAATTCTTGAAATTCGGGTAAATTTGAATTTGTTTTGTTTTCTACTTTCTTTTAATACCTCTTTCGATGCAGCAGACGGGCGCGCAGGGGTAGAATCCTAGCCGTTCATGTTTTTCATGTTTCTGTGCTGCTTGTTGCTGGCTGCAGCTTTTAAGGGTTTAGGGTTTAGGGTTTAGGGTTTGTGTATGTGTTGTGTGTGTATTTCTTTTTGTTTTATGCATCCCCAGGTATATATTACCTGGTTTCTCGGCTTGATTTCTCTCTCTCTAAAGAAGCGTTCTATCTGCTGCAGCTGCAGCTGCGTGTACAGCTCATACCCCCCCCGTCCCCCGCTTGCTGCTGCAGCTTTCCTCTCCTCTTCTCTCCTCCTCTGTATCTGTCGCCAGCATGGCGTTGGCTCCCTCAGAGGCGCCATCCCCCCACGAAGCAGATGGCTGCCACCTGGGCCGCCCCATCTTTGAGTTCCTAGACCACCCCGCCATCCTCCGCTTTCGCAAGGTATGCAGCACACACAGCTGCTGCTGCTGCTGCTGCTGCTGCTGTTGTTGTTGTTGTTGTTTTTGTTTGTGCAGCGCAGCGTCGCAGCAGAAAAAATACTCGGGTGGCGTGGCTGCACCGGTACCAGCAACAGCAACAGCAGCAGCAGCAGCAGCAGCAGCAGCAGCAGTAGTAGTAGTAGTAGTAGTAGTAGTAGTAGAACGCCCCCCACAGCTGTTTGTGTAGGGGCATTTATGCAGTTAACTAAGAGAGAGAGGCTGAACACAACCCCATTAAATAAAATATAAATGAAAAAAAAATAATTAAAATTAATAAACACA